TTGCATATTGCGTGAAACCCTTTCCAAAGAGTGTTTCAGCTTTGTTCTTCATGCTTGCTATCCAAGCAGCTGCAGACTGCCTTAGGTACGACATATCTTAATGGCTACCTCACCGAGCCCGGATCATAGTCCTCCGGGAGTTCTAACTGCCCTAAGGAGTTCTCCAACCTCCGCTCTAGGTACCATTTAGTTAGTTTGAAGGGATACATGAGAGCATGTAGCTCGGCCCCGGAATAATTGTGTAATATAAAAGGTTCCCACTTCCTAAAGAACCCATCAGAGTGTTTGTCCGGGTCGAGGGTTGCCTCAAGTCTCTCCTTCCACATCAAAGACATCAATGCCTTCACAAAAAGTTGGGGCGATGGAGGCTGCGTGGAGAGCCATTGATGCATAATTATACGTTTTGCCAGTAACAGAGCCACATACACCCAGTGCTGCGTATGTCTACTAGGTACCGTAGATGATTTCCAATAACTGAATAAACACAGCCAAGGTTCCCGGAGCAAGGGAGTATTCAGAATGACCGCTAAATAGGAGAGTACCGAATCCCAGAAGGCGACAATGTGTGGACAGTCCCAGAGACAGTGTCGGAGAGAGGCCCCCTCCAGGGTGCATTTGGGGCACGCTGTTAAGTATGGGCTTGGAGCCCTTATTTTGTGAAAAAAATCAAAGGCATAATAAGCCTTATGTATGATCCTGAAATGAGTCTCTCTCCACTGCTCATTGGGTGTGCACCTCCTAATGTTCTGACATCCCTCCAGCACGGCACTCTCAAAGTCCTCCAGCGGGAAGTCCCTTCTCCATTTCACCAGGGAAGTTCTCGCTGGTTTGGGGTTAAAGTAAGAATTGATAATGGGATATATTTTAGAGATCGATCCAGGGGTTGAGGACGAAGCCTTATCGATTTCTGTGGTTTGAACTAGCGTGCTGGGTATAGTGGTCTCGCTGCGCTAGTAATGGGTTAATTGGATATGTTGGAAGAAGTGTTGGGGTGGTAGGTCGAATTTCTTTTGTAGTTCCAAAAATGAGAGAGGTCCTAGATGTTTTCGGGGTCAATAGTTGAATCAGTTTGTGGATACCCTTGGCTGCCTAGGTGAAGTGTGGGTTATGTCGTATGGGAACATGTTGTGACATATATGGGTGCAGCCCTGCCTTCAACCTATACTCCCTCCATGCCACCACTGTATCCCTAATTAGCGAGTTAGTACGTAAAGAGGGTGGTAGTTTATTTATACGAGTATGGAGTAGGCCTACCAATGACCATGGGGACACTAGTTCGGCTTCCAGGCTATGGTTGGAATAACATGACGTATCTAGTAGCCAGTCATAGGCATGTCACAGGAGACACGCCAAATTATAGGCTCGGATATTAGGTCGCCCCAATCCTCCTTCCATTTTATGAACTTGTAGTTAGTGGTAGGAGATGCGTGGGCGTTTAGCTTTCCATAAGAACCTGGTGAACGCTTGTTCTAATGTTCTAACATCCTTGTGTTTGAGCAACAGCGGGATAGTTTGTAGGGGGTAGAGCAGTTTAGGGAAGCTCATCATTTTGATGACGTGCCCTCTACCAAAAAGCGAGAGGGGTAGGGTAGTCCACACCTCCAGCTCCTTCACCAATTTCTCAATAAAACCTGTGCTATTTTAACTTCCTTTGTCTACTTGCTTTATCCTCAAGCAGATTCAATCCTCAAAGTCATGTTTAATACTGCCTAGGGGCTGTGAGAACAGTCTTATTAGGAATAGTTCAATATAGTAAACATTCTGGATGTGAGAGAGAGGAAGCAATAGTTTTAGTGAGCTCAGTTTACGTAGTATTTTTCTTGGACTAAAAACAGCAAATTGTGTCTTAGAGCTCAAGATAATTAACAACAGGAAGTAGGGTGGGCTGTTGCAATGCATCGATGCGTGAGCAGGGAGACTGCCCCCTGTTTTTGCATTGCAGTGTTTAGTTTTCTAGTCTTAAAGGGTTTACTTTGGATCACCTTCTATTTGTATTCTGTAGTATATGCCAAAGTAGAATGACTTCCTTTAAAAACTGCTGCCTGCAGGAAGACAGAAAAGCAGTTTTGACACATCAAACACTGTAGCCCACATTTGTTTACACGGTCGAGTTTGGCAAGCCTGGTGGAGCAATGCTATTATATACTGGCCCTACTGCAAACCATATCATGGTGAGTTTCAAGTGCAGAACTTGTTGGGTTTTGTGGTGAGTTTTATGGGTATGACAGAGATGATTAAACCTGAACAACCCACCAAACCTACACTAGCCTGCTCTTTATCTCAGACACATCATACCTGTTGGATGCCAGAATGGACAGTACAAACTTTACCTCCAGTATATTTCGACTCCCTCATATGAGCCAGCACAGTGTGATTTAATTATGTAAAGAAAAGTTCCTTCATGAACATCAGAAGTTATGATGGGCAGTTATCCTAATTGTAACAGTTTATTGGTTTCAGTACATTTTTCTGAATACCTGGAATACATATTGTAAAGGGAACATGTTTGACAGGTATTGGCAGTGGTAAACCATGCTCGAGACGGAGACACCCAGGAACAGTCCAAACAGGTTTTTCTTGCACTTATAGCAACTTGCTATACAAAGAGTGCTTTGTATAGCAAGTTTATAGCAACTAACTAAACTCAATGTAGCTCCTAACTAACAGGAAACCCCCTAATGGGTTCACCAAAACAAACAGGCAGCACTTGTATCTTTTTAGTGTTTTGTCAGCACTCAGCCTTCTCACTCAGCCAGGCTCCCACAGCAGAAAGAGCAAGGGAAAGAGCCCTAAGCATCAGTCAGCTTGCATATAAAAAGGATTCTGGTGGTATTCTGCATTGCTGATTTTTATTATAATGTATTGCTGGGACTTGTAGTCCTGCATAGCTGGTGGTATTCTGCATTGCTGTATAATCGTTATACAGCAATGCAGAATACCACCAACTATGCAGGACTACAAGTCCCAGCAATACATTATATTAGTGAGTAAGTAGGGATGCACCAGTCAGTGCCAATACTGTGCATTTTCACTCATACTCGTGAAAATGCCCCGATACTAAACGCAGATACTGCGAATTTGCCGACCTCAGCATCTGCGCTTGCACACAGATCAGTATTATTTTTTAGAATTTCCCGCCGGTTCCGCCCCCATGCGACGCATCAGCTCGCAAGGGACAGAACCCGGAAGACAGATGCCGGCGCCGGCCGGAGGACACCGCACGGCTCGAGGGACAAGGTAAGTAAATAATGTGGGATATTCCCGAGTGTAGCTCAGGGAATACCGCCAAGGAGGTTAATGATATTCCATCCATCATTTACTGCCATGGATGCCTTATTATTAACAGTCACAATTAACCATTACAAACAAATACTTTGTAAATAAATGCTGGTTTCCTCGTTAATCCCGTCTGTGCGCAAACACAGATACTGGGTCGGCGTTCTCGACAGAACACCGGCACTACATTTTTAAACTGAAGCAGCTGCTTGAGGTCCCGCGCTTGCTGGGGACCTCGGCAGCCTTCCTGTTACCCACAAAGTGCCATGGCGGCGGGGGTTTGGGGGAGCCCTTCATAGTTTCTTGCATCAGGGCCCTGAAGGTTCTAGTTATGCCACTGCCTGGTAGTAAATATTACTGATTTTATTTCTAATCTCAAAAGAGGCCCTGCCACTTTGCCAGAAATGTACTCTTTAAAGTAGGCAGTGCTATCCGCTTGTTATTACAGCACCCACCGAGAGACAAAAGAAGATATACCGGTTAGGTGTGTGATGGGATATCATTACTCTATAAATTAGGCACCAAATTTAAGACTGTCTCCCAGGTGGAATAGATTTTTCACTATAACCTTAGAGGACATGTTTCTGAGAGGAGCAATTTTTGGGTACAGAGTGGCATAGTGAAGGACAACTAATATATGCTGGTGCCCCCTGGGGGACTTTGGCAGTGCAACCCTTTCAATGGGAACCTCAATTATAAACAAGGGTACCAGCAGTCTACAACAATGTGCTTGTGCTGCATTAATTGGACACGCAGGACAAGATTTACAATAATTAACTGCTTTGTAAAGACTGTGCCAGAACAACCATTGCTCAATTCACACTTTTTTTTTGTACCCCTTAAATGATAAAACAGGATATGAGAATGGACCAGAGAGCCAGCAAGAGCCACCAGGCTCTACAACTTGCTCCCATGATTCTTTACATGATACAATATGTCGTGGTATACTGCAAAATTGGGGTATACCAGGCTGACTTCTGGTTCCTGACGTACCCCATTTTTTACCTTTACATTTTTCCATGCATTCACCAAATTAGGAACCTGCAACTGTGTAGCAAGTTTGTAACCACACCCATAACGTGCTTTACAGTTCCACTAGGTGTATCCACTAAGTGCAACACAGTAGGATAGTGTTTAGCATTACCATGGATGCAAAGCAGTCTTATTTGCTTTAAACCATGATTTGCAGGGTCCTCCAGTCTGGCATGGGCCAATGTGATGATGCTTCAAGAGTTTAATAATGCCTCTACTGGATATATTTCTGTTGAAAAAGGACATATAGCATCTGCCATCTAGTTTCATTTTCTATGTGTTCTGCAAGAGCAGGCATAGCAAAAAGTGACATATACTTCCCCAGATCACATTCCAAAGGCTCATGTAATATGGGGCAGTTGGCAGCAACATGTTCCAGCCCTTACAACTGTCAGCACCTAATATGTCATGTCTCTCTTAAAGGGGAACTAAAACCAAAACTTTTTTTGTTTTGGATAGAGTAAGGGAGGGTTACAACCCCTGTTCTAGCTTTTTTTGCGGTCGGCAGGATCACCATAACTAGTGTCCCTGTTGTAAGATTTCCCATCTTACAATTTCCCATTGCTTTAATGGCAACCCAAAATGTGGAGTTTTATTTCATTTTTAGTGATAAAGGTCACTAATAGCAGTAATTAGTGGTGTGTTGTATTTTATAAAACTGTAATATGTGTTACATATATATTCTTTTTCAGATGGCACAGTGTTTGAACCAGACATGGCTGCTAGCTTTTGCCCTGATCACAAGGCTCCCATGGTGCTTTTCCTGGACCGTGTCTATGGCATTAGGGACCAACGCTTCCTCCTTCATCTGCTAGAGGTGGCCTTTTTACCTGACCTAAGAGCATCAGCATCACTTGATACAGTAAGCAATTGGACATACTCATAGCAACTCTAAGGTACACCACTAACAGAAATCCATTCTAAGCCTCTCAACTGTTGCATATTTGTCCCCAAAGGAAGAACTTCCTTTACTGTAACAGTTTACTACTCTCTATTTAAATCTAGAATGCTAATGGAGACAGCAGAAGTCATAAGAAAACTTTAGTAAAATTGAGATGCTTCTACTGTTGTGATGTATGTCTTGTGTTGATTTCCTGGAAACTATTGTCGTGACACAAACATTTAGCAACAGTGATAGAACTTAAGCACAATTGCAAACAGCAAATGTAGTTGTAGTGTTCCTTCATGCAGGATAACTTTTGGCAATAATGTAGCATTAAATTTTTACAAAGTGGATTTCCACAATTACTGTTTCCATGAAACCATAAAATGGAAAGTGAAAGTGTATTTGATAACCATTATTACATAATTATGCATGCCATTATATGTTAGTGTTTCCATTTTTCAGCATGTGTGTGTAAAATGTTTAACCATAATTTATCTCTTCCACAAAAAGCCGAACCAGCGCCAGATAGAAAGCTCCTTCAGCCACAGAATAAATCTTGTGATCCAGGCAGGCCGCCCCGTTACAGATGAGGGATAAAAACACCGGGTGCCTTTCCTGGTGCAAATAATCCTTTTATTTGTTTTGCAAAAATTAAAAGAGAAATAAATACTCACAAAGGGAGTGGATATTGCACTAATTTATGGCAGTACCACGGCCCAGTCATACTGGTTTTTCCAGTTCGGAATCGCTAATACAATTTCACCTTCTCCTATAATTATTTCCAGTTATGGTATTTTATGTGTGAGATCTTGTCTTTTTAACCAGGTAACATCAAGTCACTTTGCAGCCGCCGGGTTGTTTCCTGGTTTGATGTCGGCTCTTCTGATCTGTTATGACGAGTAGCCGGCATACAAGTGCATTTCAGCGATGTGCTAGTGCTTCTGCCCGGTTCTATTTTCAAATCTTATATTTGATTTGTATTCAATGTTATTGGTGCTTAATTTATCTGGAGTGTTCTTATGTTTAATTATATAAATGATATGTTTATTGTGCAGGCATCTTCAGCTGTTAGATCAGGCACTTGCCTTGATGACGCTCCCTCAGCTCAGATTGGGCATTTTGATATAGGGGGGAGTTTCCTAGTAACAGAAGTCTTTCCTGTGATTGGTCAGCTTCCAACCCCATTGTGGTTTGTGATCGAACACTCGATATAAATTGGCACCAAGCTAGTTGAGCCGTCCAGCTCTGAAGAAGGGGAATCTCCCCGAAAACGTGTTCAGCTGGGTCAGCTTGTTCCCGCTAGTCTAGCAGATTAATTGGATTGTTTCTCCGACTGCTAGAAGTCCGTATGTTTCCTGGGATTTCATGTCATAACACACTTTTTATCCACTTGCTTTGTGACTATTTATTTATCTTTTAATTTCTGCGAAACAAATAAAATGATTATTTGCACCAGGAAATGCGCCCGGTGTTTTTGTTTTTAGAATTTAGCTCTTGTTTCTGCCTTTTATAGTATTGATCATGCATTTCTCTCTTTAATATATTATTAATCTAAAAGATTTCCTCGGTTTAGTTTTCTTTACTCATACTCGTATTTTGCAATAAAAACCAAATATATGTGTTATGGTGCAAGACCCACAAAAACAAGTGAATGAAGAGCTCCTATTAAGTAATGATGCCCATACCAGTGAGAATGCAGTTATTTATTCATACAAATATAAATGTTGTTATGTATTATTATATTCAACTATTGATATGGAGTAGAAAATGTGCAGTCCTGTAAGAGCAGCTTATATTTATCAATTTTAGTTACTCTGTTTATGTGTTAAATTTGGATTGTAGTAATTGTTGAAGATGTGTCAAAGAAGCTGGCACTTGTTTTCTCCTTGCAAGCGTTTACACTTTGATAATCTGAGCATCATAGTCATTTTATTGCCAAGTTTGTCAATGATTACATTTAAAAAAATACAGAATGCAAGCATCAAATGTAATCAGGGATGAGCAAATATGTTTGGGTTCAGTTCAGGGGGGGCTCATTGAACCCTGGGTGAACTCCGAATATTGCAACCTTCAAAATGAACCCCATTGAAGTCTATGGGCAAATTTATATAATAATTTCTGGCTATTTTTAAGGCTAATAGGTAAGGGATTGTAAAACATTGGGGAGCTGGGCACTGCCATGTGGGACTTGTAGCAATGCAAAAAAAAATTAAATACCTTACAGTGCGAAGAGGGTTATCCATTTAATGCAGCTTCGTGAGTGACATGAAAACAACCAATTAATTTGAATTACAAGTATGGGGGATGCCCTTAAGCTTTAGGTGTTGTTACAAAACAGTACAATTTTCAGATAGCGTCAGCGACACCATTTTCTGGCATATTTTGATTAAAAAAATTACTTTTACTTCTAGTTTGACTTAAAGCAACACTAAACTCAGTAGTTAAATCCTAAAAATGCATTTAAGTACCTTAACTATTAACAAAAATGTAGCTTATTTGGGTATTACTCAGCTGTAGATTCTTAATTCATATCTGAATTAATGCTGACACTGTCCTTCTTTCAGGCTGGTGGCTACTTTTTTCTATGGTCCCTGTGCGTGTTGTATTGTAGCCACCGCTCCAAGATCACTTTTGTGATGGACTACAATCTCAATACCAATTAGTAAACTAAATGTGAGATTGTAGTTCATCACAGGAGAAAGCTTGTAGCGGTGGTACTTTACAACACACACAGGGACCATGGGGAACAAAAGTACTCACTCTCCAGAAGGAAGGACAGTGTCAGCACCAATTCAGAGATGATTTGAGGATCTACAGCTTAGTGATACACAAATGAGGTACAGTATTGTTAATATTTAAGTTACTTAAATGCATTTTTAAGATTTAACTCCTGAGTTTAGTGTCACTTTAAATACAGCAACATCATGGCAATTATTACAACTTGGAAAAATATCTCTTTTAGTTAGTCTTTGCTGTGATACCTGATTTAAAGGAGAACTATGGGGTCAGTGTTTTTCCCCATAGTTCTCCTTAGGGTAACGGGAGGACACAAACTAGCGCCCTCCCATTACCCTAAGCTCAGTATACCGCGAGCTGTAGCTCGCGGTATACTGAGACACCGCAGCCGGAGCGGATCCCGACTTAGATGACGGGGTCCGCCCAGCTGCGTGAGTGACAGCTGGCTCTGCCTATCTAGAGGCAGAGCCAGCTGTACCCTCCCCCGTCCGTTCCGCCAGTCAGCGCTGGCAGATCGGAGCGGGGAGAGGGGAATCCAGCCCCTCCCCCTGTCACGGCAGAGAGCCATGACAGGATCGAGAGGCGAGCGAACACGGTATGTGTTCGCTCACCTCCCGATCTACTGAGCCGACCTGTGACAGTCTCATTGTCACAGGTCGGCTAGAAATATGAGGTGAGTGAAAAGCACTCACCTCATAGTTCTCCTTTAATATCAAGCAGTAGTAGGCCTGAATTGAACACTGGAAGTAACAGCTGCAACAGATCTAAAAGCTATAAGAAAGGTCACCCTTAAAAAACTAAAGTTAAAGCCCTCAACTTTGTAATAATTGGCCAGTGGCACAATAGTATAGTTTCTAAGCTTATTTTTTTGCTGTACCATTCTGCAGTGTCTTAACCACTTCACGACCAGGTGTTTAGACCCCCTTCCTGGCCAGGCCATTTTTCAGTATTCAGCGCTGTGGTACTTTGACTGAAGTTTATTCCGTAATGCAACGCTGTACTGAAATGAATTTTATACCATTTTTTGGGGACAGATAGAGCTTTGTTTTGGTGGTATTTAAACACCACTGGGGGGTTTATTTTTTACTATACAGTAATTAGGAAAAATTACAGAGAATTTTGAAAAAATAAAAAAAAATTTAACATTATGTTAGGAAACATTTATTATTACCCAGTTTTTTGGTAAAATATAAAAGTCGGGGTCACGTCGGGTAAATAGACACCAAACATGTCAAGCTTTAAAATTGCGCGTACCCGAGAAATCGCAGAAAACTACCATACCCAAAATTGGCCATAGGCGACACTTTAAAAGCTTTTACCGCTCATCAGTTTAGTGTTATCAGTGATTGATGGCCCTAGACTTATTGCTCTCACTGCGATATGTAACATGTGCGTAGGGCTGCAGCTAACGATTATTTTCATAATCGATTAGTTGGCCGATTATTAAGTTCGATTAAACGGTTAATCGGATTAAAAAAAAAAAGGCTCCAGTGATTGACGACTAGTTTGTGTTAAGATTGTAGTCCATCACGGGAGCAAACTTGGCGTGGTGGAAGTAAAAAAAAAGTGTGGTGTGCAATATAGTACATTATACAGCGGCGCAGTGCAGAATACCAGCAGCTATAGAGGAATGTAGCAATAGTACATTATACTATAATGTACTATTGCTGGGATTTGTAGTCCTCTGTAGCTGGCGTTATTCTGCATTGCGCTGTATATAATGTATTATTGCTGGGATTTGTAGTCCTCTATAGCTGGTGGTATTCTCCATTGCGCTGTATAATGATTTATACTGCGCAATGCAGATTACCACTGACCAGTTATAGAGGAACAAATCCCAGCAAAAATACATTATACACAGCGCAGGAGAATACCACCAGCTATAGAGGAACAACAAGTCCCAGCAATAATACATTATACCGGGTGTTTAATATATTATTGCTGGGATTTGTTGTTCCTCTATAGCTGGTGGTATTCT